AGTTTAAATAAGCACTCTGAGGTTATTGTATCTGGGTGACCCCATTACAGCTTGCACTGTTGAAATTAAATATCTTTTGATATACAAGACGGCCCTAAAATACTTTCTAATGCTGGCCTATTCTGCCCCATAGGTACCAACACTGTTGCTATGGAGGCTTCAAACCAAGACCAAAATCTGCAAGCGATTATAAACGCGGCTGTTGCCGCTTCACTAGAAAAGACCCTGGCTCGGGTGCTGCCCATTGAGCCCAAAGATACCAAAATTTCTGAGCCCCCGCACTCTGATGAACAGGCGGATGATTCCGATTCTACAAGAAGGAACCCTTCCAAACTCAATAAACGATATTGGAAAGGGGATGGGCCAGAATCACTCAAACGCAAAGGGAAAGAACCGGCTAAACGCCCAAAACAAACGGACGCCAGGGAAAAACATTCCATACAGCCTACCTTGTCGGAGGAGGAAGACGACTCTTTCGACTCACATCCATTGGCCATTCTAGATGAATGGCAAGCTGGCCACTCTTCAGAAGACGAAGAAGTCTGGCCTGAGACATCTTTCAGAGAAGCACCTTTCCCTCAAGATATCACGGGAGACCCCACTACTGAGGTTTCAGTACCCGAAACCTTTCTGGATACGCTTGGTGAACCACTATTTGACCCACGACAGATCAGATACCCTCGATCTTTAGAATGGTCACTCCCAAATCACCTTTCACAATATATCCATTTCTGGATAAGGAGACCCCTAGACCGGGAGGTCCGCAAACGCCTAAGAGCTGAATGCCCTAGACCCACCTTACCAGACAAGGTCGCTATGACCCCGGAGTTTGATTCCCTGCTCTACACATATTTAGCCAGATCTGGCCGTGACCCTAAAAAGGGCATTGAGCGCATCACCCAGGACAAGATGTTGGATGTCCTAGGGCCCTTGGCAAGAATTCTACTACTGGCTGATGAAGCCCTCACTAACGAGGGCCCTTTAGACCCATCTGTGATCAGAGAATGGGCACTACGCTCCATTTGCCTGCTGGGCAATGCAAATACTTCCCTCTCTACCGAGCGTAGAAAAGCAGTGCTGCTGCGTATGGATGCCAAACTAGCCGACCTAGGGACCAAAGAGTTGGGCCCCAAGGCCAAGGGTCTATTATTTGGAGAACCCTATATTAAAGAATTGCACAAGCATGTAAATTTATACGCCACCCTGAACAAGGCGCAATCATCCATGAGAAGAGTATTCCACCAACAACCCTCTCGGGTTTTTGGCAGGGCTGGCCGTCCAAGGGGTCGTGCAGTCAGCCGCTTCTGGCCCACAAGCCAACGCCAACGAACCCCCACTTCACCATTCTTCCCCAACTATCAAAATAGAGGTTTCTACACCCAAAGGTCAGATAGGGGAAGAGGAGGTAGAGCCCGTGGACGCTACAGATACCCAACAGGTGAGATTTCCTACTTTTCACCTCTCTACGGTTTCTCATGCGGGCAGGTTGTTACATTGTGTGGATATGTGGAAGACGCTGTCTTCAGATACATGGGTTCTAAACACGGTTCAGGGTTATTTCATAGAATTTTATTCTCTCCCTACTCAAACAGGTCCTCCCCATTACCCGATAATGTCAAAATCTCAATGGCTCCTCCTTGATTCAGAACTACGTTCCTTGCTAACAAAAGGAGCAATTCAACCCGCTCCAAACGACGAAGGCTTTCTAAGTTCCATATTCCTGGTCAAAAAGAAATCAGGAGAATTTCGCTCGGTAATCAACCTTCGCCAATTGAATACCTTCGTGATATACCGGCATTTCAAAATGGAAGGGATACATCTCCTCAGAGACATTCTCCGTCCAGGCGATTGGTTCACCCGACTCGACCTCAAGGATGCTTACCTCTCCGTGCCAGTACATCCATCCAGTCGACGTTTCCTCCGCTTCCCCTGGCACCACCGGATCTTCCAATTCACCTGCCTTCCATTCGGCCTGAGTTCCGCTCCCTGGTGCTTCACCAAACTGCTCAAGCCAGTCACCGCACATCTTCGAGCAAGGGGTTTTCGCTGCCTAATCTACCTCGACGACCTCTTACTACTCTGCGACAACATCTCCACGCTGCAGTCACAGACGAACTACACATCCTCATTGATAGAATCCTTGGGATTCGTCATCAACAAGGAAAAATCCTCGCTGACTCCATCCCAAATCATACAGTTTCTCGGCTTCGAGATCGACTCCTCCACCTGTGTTCTCCGCCTGCCTCAGTCCAAGTTAACCGCGATCAGGAAGGAACTGCGCAAGACGCTTCGCCAAGTGGATCTACCTCTCCGAGGTTTGGCTCGGATTATAGGCCTGCTTTCTGCCTCCATTCAAGCAATCTACCCAGGTCCCCTCCATTATCGGGCCATGCAACGCTTGAAGGCTCAATTCCTCCAGACCCATCCATCATACGACCAAAGGGTCCCGATCACTACCGAGGTGAGGGAGGAACTCTACTGGTGGCTTCGCCACATGTCTGCCTGGAACGGCAAAGCAATTTTTGGTCCCACTCCGGACTTTGTGGTGGAATCAGACGCGAGCCTCCAAGGCTGGGGTGCAACTTGTCATACAACTTCCACCGGGGGACCATGGACCGACGCAGAACACTCTCTCCACATCAACTGTCTGGAATTAATCGCAGGATCGTTTGCAATCCGCAGTCTGGCCAATCATCTCTCAGACTGCTATATTCTCCTCCGAATGGACAATATCTCGGCCGTTCAATACATCAACAAATTGGGCGGGGCCAGATCTCACACCCTGTCCGAGGTGACAAAGGACATCTACAATTTTTGCTTCCAGCGCAACATAACACTCCGGGCAGAATACCTTCCGGGGGAGACGAACACCACTGCGGATTGGTTCTCCCGACATTGGAGAGACGGCAGCGACTGGCGCTTACACAGGTCAGTCTTCCTCCACGTCTCCAAACTCAGGGGCCCGTTTACTCTGGACCTGTTCGCCTCCCGGACGAATTTTCAAGTCCCACGCTTCTTCAGCTGGCTACCAGACCCGGAATGTTTGGCAGTAGATGCCTTTCTTCAGAAATGGCCGACGACGGGAGCCTACGCCTTCCCTCCGTTCGCGATGATCCCAAGAACCCTTCTTCAGATTCGCAGACAACAGGTCACACTGGTACTACTCACCCCGCTCTGGCAGGGCCAAGCATGGTTCCCAGATCTCCTGGACCTCTCCTGCCAACATCCCCTCCTTCTACCTCTATGGCCCAACCTGTTAGAGGACCCTCAAGGAAACCCTCATCCGATGATAATGCAAGGTCATCTCCAATTAGTGGCTTGGACTCTTTCAGGGGATCCTGGAATTTCGGAGAATTATCGCAGAGATCTAAAGAACTTCTCTGGGATTCCTGGGCTCCTGGAACCAGAAGATGCTACCTTTCTTCCTGGAGTACTTGGTGCAATTGGTGCATGGAACGGAATACCGATCCCCTTACAGCCCCTAGACAGTCCATACTGAATTTCCTCTCACACCTGTTCGACTTAGGCCGTACTTACCGGTCCATCAACGTGGCCCGGTCAGCAATCTCGGCAGCCCATGTCCCTCTACATGGGATTCCAGCGGGCCAGGACCCGCTGGTTTGCAGACTATTGAGGGGTATCAAACTGGCTCGCCCCCCAACACCAAAATACTCCCATCTATGGGATGTTAACGTCATGATTCGTTTCCTGGAAACCTGGCCGAACAACGAAGATCTAACCCTCCGTCAACTCTCGGCTAAATTCACCCTGCTACTCTGCTTAGTATCCTTCCGACGAGTGTCGGATGTTCAAGCTTTTGACCATGACGCTATCAATTTTTCCCCTGAAGGTGTCACCTTTTCCGTGTCCAGACGGACAAAATCAAACTCTTCTTCGGTATTTTACCCTTATTTCCCTAACCATCCAAAATTGTGTGTGGTATCACTTCTCTCTCGTTATTTACTACTCACCTCCTCCCTTCGTTCAACCTCCTCCAGCCAACTATTGATCTCCTACGTCCGTCCACATAATCCGGTGTCAACCATAACCCTTGCCCGATGGGTTAGGTGGTTGCTCTCCCTCGCTGGGATTGAGGCCTCCTTCGGAGCCCACTCTATCAGGGGAGCGGCGGCACCGGGAGCTTTCAGCGCTGGAGCCTCACTTCGGGACATTCTCCACTCAGCAGACTGGTCCCTGGAACAGACTTTCCGCAACTTCTATTTTCGTCCGGCTGTGCACGCTTCCTTAGCCCTTCTTGGGGAGCGTTAAAACAGCAAATACGAAGCCTCCTGTCATGTTATAAAATTGTAGATTATGCTAACTTTAGTGTACCGATAATCTTAATTTTATTAATGACAGGAGGCGAGTATTTCCCACCCTTCACTCTCGTTCTTTTTCCCCTCCCTAAGGTCACCTATCTAGGTAAGTTCATCTAGACTAAATACATACTCTAGGTACCTCTACTGTGGGGAGGGCTAAGGGTTTCTCTCTAAGGGTGGATAGGTTACACTTCGTAGGAGGTGGGCTTTTAGACGAGATTTTCTAAATACCGAATGTCATATTTTATAAATCCAATTCTCGGATTAATCCTTGGTTTCGATTCTGCTTTCTCGTTTCAGCATAAAGCCCCTCATGAAGACAAGTTCAGTTGCCGTTCCATCTCAAGCATCACCTCGGCTCTCTAAGAAGACATGTTTACGTTCCTGTTCCCTCTCTAACATTTGCTTTCTCATCTGGCATCCTGAATTCTTCATCTGGTTCAGTTACAGTCCCTGTTCCTATTTGTTCGCAGCCAGAAAGAGGAAGTGACATCACAGGGAGGGACTCTTATACCTTGTTATCTCTTTTTCTGATTGGTTACCCTGTTACTAAGTAAAAAAAGTGCTGCTGTGAAGCTTAAGTAAAGAAAGACTTAAGCAAATACTCGCCTCCTGTCATTAATAAAATTAAGATTATCGGTACACTAAAGTTAGCATAATCTACAATTTTCAGTGAAATTTCTTTAATTAGATTAATAAATCATGCAATACATTAAATCCTCAGCCAGGTATTATTCTCATATACACAGAATAAAGCATGAAGCGGCTCAGTGAAGGTGGCAGTGAATGTGTGTAAGTGTCTGATGGGTTCACACAGCTCATAAAATGACAGCCGCCCGGCCTCGTAGTCCAGGTATATCCCGAATCTCCGGCTGGAAAGGCGGTGACATAACCGAAATGTTATTTTACTGTCATGCCTCGCATTATACAGAATATTTCCCAACCTCTCCAAACCCCAAGACTTGCTATTATATCCAATCCGTGACTGACCTCCTTCCCTGTCTATACTGGGATAGGCCATCCCTACCGTCCATCCCCCTGATTCACTGCCCTCCACTTCCCAGTAATGTCGCCCTGAGGAGAAACTCCTGGCGCTTAAAACGTGATCAGACTGAAATCTCTCTGGTGTTTCTGGGCTACTCTGGATTACTTCTGACAAGGATACAGTTTTCATATCACCTGATACGGTTACATTATTAGCAGCCGTGTTTACATCCAGTAACATGTCTGAAGCCGTGTTTATTCCCAGTAACATGTCTGAAGCCGTGTTTACATCCAGTAACATGTCTGAAGATGTGTTTACCCCCTGTAATATATTAGCCGGTACTTGGCTCTGTCTCTTTACTCCGGTCACAATCCCAGCTAATCCTGAGTGTAAGGTCACTGAGATCAGACCCACATCCAGATCCCCTACAGCACGGACCTTTTTATCATCTCTCTCTCTGTCCTCATTATCTCCCTCCTCAGTGTCACAATAGTCAACTCTGTCTGATTTCCGTCCTTGTAAGACAGTTAATGGGTCCATCATGTTACACAGCTCCTTAATGTGACCCATCTTCCTGGACAGATCCTCCTTCTTTATTTCCATCTGACAGGTTAGATCTAAGACTCGGAGTGAGATCTGCTTTTCGTGCCTGGAGATCTCACTCAGAATTTGCTTCTCTAGAGCTTCCAGTTGTTTTTTAATGCTCCTAATCAGGGCAGTTACTTCCTCTGTTACCCCGGCTGCTTTTTTTTGCACTTCTCTCTTGAGCTCCTGCAGGCTGTGGACTCTTTTCTCAGCCTCCTTTCTCTTTGAGGTTAGTTTTTTCAGAATATTTCTCAGTTTCTCCTTCTTCTTCTCAGAGGCCTCATTCAGAGTCTGCACCTGGTGTCCCCTATGATCTCCGTCCAGCCTGCAGGACACACAGATACAGGTAGCATCCTCAAAGCAGTAATATTTCAGGATTTCCTTGTGGACGGAGCATTTTCTGTTCTCCAGTGAAGTGGTGGGTTCAGTTAGGACATGTTCTGCTGACTTGCTGTGGACCCTCAGGTGGGCTTCACACAGACAAGCTTCACAGTGCAGACATGTTTTAGCAGCAGGTACAGGAGAGTGAATACAGTAAGTACAGGGGATCCCAATCTTTTTTCTTGGTGGCTCAATTAATCGGAAACTCTCTGCTATGTTAGACAGTCTATGGTTTCTTTTAAGCTCAGTTTTTTTCCCCAAAATGAATCTGCATTCAGGACAGGAATAGCCTCTCACCTCCCGTGTGCCCAGCACATTCTCAATGCAGACTCGGCAGAAGCTGTGTCCACATCTCAGGGTTACAGGATCTGTATAAATGTTCAGGCAGACTGAGCAGGTCAGCTCGTCTCTCAGATCAGCAGACGCCATCACTGAAAGCAGGAACCAAAAACGAAACTTAATGTTTGTCTTCTTTCAGAAAGCAGTGGGACGGGTTTCATCACATTCCACAACCAGGGGGCGGACAGTTTGTATCATAGGATTTAACTTCCTGACTGTTAACCCTGAGAGTTCCCGATGAGCTATCTTTTCTATAACACAATATTCAGACTGCAGTTACATAGTTACAATGTTCCACAGGTTAAATAGAGACATGTGTCACATCACATTTTTTTTTCTGTTGATCCAAAAGAAGGCAAAAAAAAAAACAGTTTGAAGCACTTCCCAATTGTGTAACAAGCCTGGAACAGATTCCTTCTTCCAGTCAGATCTCTCCTTGAATCAAGAAGCTATTACTACACCTATTAAAAATGGAATCCCTGTATATTATTATTATTGGTATTTATATAGTGCTAGTGCCAAATAAAATTAGTGCCAAATAATTCTGCAGTGTTTACAATATTATGAGGGGGAAATTTACAATAGATGAGACAATTACACAGTGACACAAGAACAATAGGTAGATGAGAGCCCTGCTCAAACGAGCTTACAGTCTAGAGGTGGTGGGGTACAAGTACACAACAGGGCAGTAGGGGTGATAGCCACCAACAAGGTGGAAAAGTAGCAGAACTGGAGGTGAGAGTGCCGTGTGGCTCTGTAGGAGAGCAAGAGACAGGTTTGGATAGGTATAGATAAGTTACTCTGGGAGTCCATAAGCATTCCTGAACAGATGAGTTTTGAGGGACTTTTTAAACAATTGAAGACAAGTGGAGAGTCTGATGGGGGTAGGCAGGCTGTTCCAAAGTAAAGGAGCCGTCCGTGAGAAGACCTGTAAGCGCGAGTTAGCAGTAAGTGTGCGAGCAGCGGACAGAAGGTCACCGGTTTACAGGGGCATACCCTGGGGTTGGCAGGCAGCGGGGGCGCGCAAAAATCAGTAGTCACTGTGACCAGTGAGTTTTGCACGCCCCACTCTGCCTGTGCCCCCTGGTTGCGTGCTGCTCCATAGGGGAGCCATACGCACTGTATACTAACAAGGGCCTTCCCCTTATTACGTGACTGCCCGCTGCTCACTCTGATGCAGGAACAGACACTGAGAGGGAGACATATGGAAGGGGGAGGGAAATATGGAAGGATAGGGAGATATATGAATGGAGGGGGGGAGTTGACATGGGGGAGAGATATGATTAAAGGGGGGGGTTGACATGGAGTGAGAGATATGGATGGAAGGGGTTGACATAGGGAGAGAGATATGGATGGGGGTATTGACATAGGGGGAGAGATATGGAAGGGGGGTTAACATGTGGAGAGAGATATGGATGGAAGGGGAAAGGTTGACATAGAGGACACTGTTTTAGACCAAACAAAGTGTTTGCTTGAGTATCTGTCCTAATATTTAAAGTGAAATGATGCGTGCAAGCTTGAGGAAATCACACTGACAACAAGTTCAGATAAATGAAAACGTCGAAGTGTTTTATGGGGGCGGACACAGCCCCTTAAAAAGGCAAAAGAATGCATTGTGTGCAAATATTAAGCATAAACTTTTAAGTGTAAGTGTTTTATTTTGATGTACTTCCTCCAAGGCGTGATGTCATCATCATCTTAGGTGTAGCTCCGGATGGAGACACCATTTTGTTACGCAAGGGTTTTGGTCAATGGGAGGGTGTGCTCTAGAAGCCATTTTGAGTAATGAATGAGCACAGGTACACATAACAAATAGACATTTTACTTACATTTATTTCTATCCATCACATATGGATGGAGGGGAAAGTGAGACACGGATAAAAGGGAGACCTGGGGAGATATGGATGGAAGGGGGAAGTGAGACATGGATAAAAAGGAGACCTGGGGGGAGATAAGGATGGAAGGGGGAAGTGAGACATGGATAAAAGGGATACATGGGGGAGATATGGATGGAAGGGGGAAGTGAGACATGGATAAAAGGGGGAGATAAGGATGGAAGGGGGAAGGAGATATGGATAAAAGGAAGATATGGATAAAAGGAAGACCTGGGGGAGATATGGATGGAAGGGGGAGGGAGACATGGATAAAAGGGAGACCTGTGTGAGTGCAGTCTAAGTGCTGGGGTGAGTGCTTGGACAAGTCATGTGAGTGCTGTGGTAAGTCAGGGGAGCTAGGGCAAGTCCTGTGAGTTCAATATATATGCTGGGTAAGTCCTGGGTCAAGTCCTGTGAGTGCAATCTCACTGCTGCGATAAGTCGTAGGTACTAGGACAAGTCATGTGAGTGCAAACTCTGTGCTGGGGTAAGTCCTGGGTGCTGGGGTCAAGTCATGTGAGTGCAATCTGCATGCAGGGTTAAGTCAGTATATACACAAGGTTATGTCTCACACACAGGGCTGGATTAACATAGGGGCTGATGGAACTCCCCATTGATTTAAAATAGGCCCATTGATTTAAAAAAAAACATTTTTTTTTTTTTTTTACTCATTACTCTTAGGGATTCCACCTGGCTGGTATTTTATTGGCACAGCCAGTATTTGAGGCCGCCTAGCTAGTGCCAATATTGCAGTGATACTGGCAATACAAATGCTGGTATTTTTCTCAGTATAAACAAGAGATTACTCTGCAATACCAGCACTGGCCAGTAGGGGTCGCTGTGTGTGTGAAGACAGGCAGGGATAGGAAGTTCCAGCATATCCTTCCTTGCCTATCTATACTCACTGATCTGCAGGGGAGCAGCTACAGAGAGTCCAGACAGCAGCTCCCACCCTGCAGAGACAGCCTACAGCTCAGGGAAGTAAGGGATTGGGGAAAGGATGCAAGGAGACAATACTGAGACACTAAGGGACATTGGGAGACATTATGGCAGACACTGAGACACTAAGGGACATTGGGAGACATTATGGCAGACACTTGAGACACAGAAAGGACATTGGGACACTGAGACACTAGGGAGACATTATGGCAGACACTGAGACACTAAGGGACATTGGGAGACATTATGGCAGACACTGACACTAAGGGACACTGGGAGACATTATGGCAGACACTGAGACACTAAGGGACATTGGGAGACATTATGGCAGACACTGAGACACTAAGGGACATTGGGAGACATTATGGCAGACACTGAGACACCAAGGGACACTGGGAGACAATATGGCAGACACTGAGACACCAAGGGACACTGGGAGACATTATGGCAGACACTGAGACACTAAGGGACACTGGGAGACATTATGGCAGACACTGAGACACTAAGGGACACTGGGAGACATTATGGCAGACACTGAGACACTAAGGGACATTGGGAGACATTATGGCAGACACTGAGACACTAAGGGACATTGGGAGACATTATGGCAGACACTGAGACACTAAGGGACACTGGGAGACATTATGGCAGACACTGAGACACTAAGGGACACTGGGAGACATTATGGCAGACACTGAGACACTAAGGGACACTGGGAGACATTATGGCAGACACTGAGACACTAAGGGACATTGGGAGACATTATGCAGACACTGAGACACTAAGGGGCATTGTGGCAGACACTGAGACACTAGGGAGGAGACATTATGGCAGACACTGAGACACTAAGGGACACTGGGAGACATTATGGCAGACACTGAGACACTAAGGGACACTGGGAGACATTATGGCAGACACTGAACACTAAGGGACACTGGGAGACATTATGGCAATGACACTAAGGGACACTGGGAGACATTATGGCAGACACTGAGACACTAAGGGACACTGAGACACTATGGACACTGGGAGACATTATGGCAGACACTGAGACACTAAGGGACACTGAGACACTAAGGGACACTGGGAGACATTATGGCAGACACTGAGACACTAAGGGACACTGAGGAGGGAGACATTATGACACACATTATGGCAGACACTGAGACACTAAGGGACATTGGGAGACATGGCAGACACTGAGACACTAAGGGACATTGGGAGACATTATGGCAGACACTGAGACACTAAGGGACATTGGGAGACATTATGGCAGACACTGAGACACTAAGGGACACTGGGAGACATTATGGCAGACACTGAGACACTAAGGGACATTGGGAGACATTATGGCAGACACTGAGACACTAAGGGACATTGGGAGACATTATGGCAGACACTGAGACACTAAGGGACACTGGGAGACATTATGGCAGACAATGAGACACTAAGGGACACTGGGAGACATTATGGCAGACACTGAGACACTAAGGGACATTGGGAGACATTATGGCAGACACTGAGACACTAAGGGAAACTGGGAGACATTGTGGCAGACACTGAGACACTATGGGACACTGGGAGACATTATGGCAGACACTGATACATTAAGGGACACTGGGAGACATTATTGCAGACACTGAGACACTAACGGGCATTGGGAGGCATTATGGCCGACACTGAGACACTAAGGGACATTGGGAGACATTATGGCAGACACTGAGACACTAAGGGACATTGGAAGACATTATGGCAGACACTGAGACACTAAGGGACATTGGGAGACATTATGACACAGAGGGGCATTGGGAGACATTATTGCAGACACTGAGACACTAACAGGCATTGGGAGGCATTATGGCCGACACTGAGACACTAAGGGACATTGGGAGACAATATGGCAGACACTGAGACACTAAGGGACACTGGGACACATTATGGCAGACACCGAGACACTAAGGGACACTGGGACACATTATGGCAGACACTGAGACACTAAGGGACATTGGGAGGCATTGTGGCAGATACTGAGACACTAAGGGACACTGGGAGACATTATGGCAGACACTGAGACACTAAGGGAAACTGGGAGACATTATGACAGTCACTGAGACACTAAGGGACACTGGGAGACATTATGGCAGACACTGAGACACTAAGGGACATTGGAAGACATTATGGCAGACACTGAGACACTAAGGGACATTGGGAGACATTATGACACAGAGGGACACAGTGTCCCCATGTCTCCCAGCCAGTGTCCCTGGTGTCTCAGTGCCCCCTAGTCTCCCAGGGACCCCCAGTCTCCCAGTGCCCCCAGTCTGCCAGTGTCTCACTGTCCCCATGTCTCC